AGAGGTCAGAGATAAACTACAGGACATTCTGAGAGAGGAATGGACAAACATCTCACTGACAGTCACTGAAGTGGATGTTTTACTGTCAGATCCACCAGAGCCAAAGACCAGAGCTGGATTCTTAAAATATTCATGTGAAATCACACTGGATCCAAACACGGTACACAGAAATCTTGTATTATCAGAAGGACACAGAAAATCAATGTTTGTTTTTCAAGATCATTCTTATTCTGATCATCCAGATAGATTCACTGGATGGTGTCAGGTCCTGAGTAGAGAGAGTCTGACTGGACGTTGTTACTGGGAGGTGGAGTGGAGAGGGAGAGGAGTGTATATAGCAGTTGCATACAAGAATATCAGGAGAGCAGGGACTGTGAATGAATGTATGTTTGGATGTAATGACAAATCTTGGGCATTAGATTGTTCCAAAAACAGTTACACATTTTGGCATAACAACATTGAAACTCCAGTTTCAGGTCATGGGTCCTCCAGAGTAGGAGTGTACCTGGATCACAGAGCAGGTATTTTGTCCTTCTACAGCATCTCTGAAACCATGACTCTCCTCCACAGAGTCCAGACCACATTCAGATGACTGGTTGATTTTTAAAACAATTGCTGAATTCGTTAAACCGAAATAGACTGTTTCATATTACTGTGGGCTTAAATCTGTATTTTAGCTTCATGTTATTTTCTCTTGATCATTGTTGTAGCATTTCTGCACTGCACAGAGATCGGGTGTGAGTAAAACATTATAGGCGGCACCTTGACATCTTCTATTTGTTCTCTTGATGATTTTGAGTTTTTTAAGTGGAGCTCATTCCTGGTTCTGTTTAGACATGGAGGCGATCGCTGGTTATGATGATTTTTATTTACAAAAATATTTCTCCAAATGAAAATGCACTCTAAATTTTTGTGGAATTATTGGATTTCTGTATTTTTATGCTGTTGTTTCTCTTCCACTTCATAAACCTTAACAGAGACATCAGCACACCTTCCTTTTTCAGATAGTTTTTGTCATCCCTGTGCCCTCATCCCAAATCAACAAATAAATTATGATGAACAAAACTCTAATTATCATAATAATAATCCATTTATAGATCCATTATGTTCAATATTTAATGTGTGAAAAAAACTGAAGATATTTAGCATAAATAAAACTTTAAACAAACGCTGTTCTTCTGTCTTCATTCCAAACTCTCACTCAAATCATATAATGAAATGTTAGATTCATCTGAGAGAATAACTGCAGTAGTTTTCCTTCTGAAATGCTACAAAGTTTATGTTTAGAGCAGAAAATCTTCATTCAGCTCTGTGACCTTTCAGCTGCCTTAAATAAAACAACTCCATTAAAGAGAAATTAGCCATGTTTTGTTGTCCTTAATGATTTTCACAAGACATAAGATTTTTGATGTATTCAATTATCACATGTGAAGTTTGTGCATTCCTTCCTGCACATTGACAACTGAAGCCTGAAAACTCTTCTCAATTCACAATACAATACAAAGAGGGCACCGTCATCCTCATAAAAAGGATGTAGTTCATGTTGAACTCAATGTGTTTGATTTTACTTCAAACTGATACTTTAGTGTGAGCACCATACTTTACAGCTATCAAGGATATATCAATACTTTTCTGTGATGATGAAAATAAAAAAAATAACTGTGTGAATGTGACATACATAAGTTAAGTATGTGTTGGTGGTGTGCTCCAACTATGCTGCATAAATAAACCTTATGCATGAGGAATACAGATGAGAATTGATAGCAACTCCGATTCAATTATCGATATCATTTATCGACTCGATTCCTTATCGAGTCTCATTGGCTCCACTTTGAGCGTCACCACCATCTCTAAGCAGCATATCAAAGACATTACATTCATGCTAATTAATTGCATGCTGTGAGGTCAAATGTTTGTACATGCTAGAGGTATTTCCCCCTCTTTGTTGTGATCAGTGTTGGGGTCATTACTCAAAAAAGTAAAGCAAAAAAGTTATTACACATATTACACAGAAAACTTTTCTTAAAAGAAATGCAGTACGTTACTTAATCAGAGCCAGGAGAAACACATTTGTTATCCTACTTGTTAAGTTACTTTCATGTTACTCTGTAAAATGATCTGAAACACACTGTCTCATAATTACCAATTAACATTTGAACCTACAGGCTACAGCCCCACACATCAACACAAATCCCTGTCCTAATGAGGACACACGTGATCTTTATCTTAGTCTTTAGGTATGAACACAAAACCTACAACACAAATCAAAGATGAAAACCAGCACAAAGACACTTTAAAGAGATCACCACAGTGAGTTTACTGTAGAAACATGAACAAGTAGAAACGCAAGCTGCAGCCTGACTGCTCATCAGTTTGTTACCTGTTGAAGCGGCTTCACCACAAATGACAGCTCATTTTTTCCACGATGCTGGGCTGGGGTGAGCATTTACTCAGCTTTAGCGTCACACTGGGTTCCTGGCTAGCTTACAATTAGCATGCTGTCTCTGCAGGTGCAGAGTTGTGTTAGCAATATAATGCAGTTGTTTCTGTCCTGCAGTCTCCACTTTACCATCAGGGTCTCATCTTTTTGTGCAATAAAAATAAAAGCAATGCCCATATGCTGTAAACTGTGCCACCATTTTCCTTCTCCAACACACGGACTGAAATCAACTAATCTTAGTAAGACTGCAAGAACTGATAAGTGGGATCGAAAAGCACACAGATTGCAAGGAATGGGATTCCAAATTCCCATCTCCAATGTGGAAAGGTCAGGGGTGGACATTAGGGGTGGACATTACACATCAGTATGCCCACAGGGAAAAAAATCTCACTCTTACAGTCTCCTTCACTTATTTTTGGGTTTTGCATTTCCTCACTTCTAGTATGCAGTAACCACTGATCCACCTCAGTTATATGCTCTTTCGCAAGCTAGCTAACATAAACTAGTATGTTACCATCCATTTTCTTGGAGTTGCCCCAGGTGGAGGACCCTCAAGCACCCCACCTCCCACCTCTCACCAAGGGCAACTTCATACTGTGAGCCCAGCCACTCTTCAGGAAACTGGTGCCAGAGTCCAAGCCATGTGTTGAGGTGAGCCTGACTGCATCTAGTGGGTACCTCTCAGCCTCACACACTTGCTCACTCTCCTTCCCCACCAGAGAAGGGACATTCCATCCCTCAGTCACTATTCTTAGTATCTGGTGATCAGTCACCCAGGGTCTCTATTCTTGCCTGCCGCCCGCCACAGTAAGATAGACTAAAAAGCATAACCTTTGTACCAGTGGTTTTAAACATGCTCTAAAAAATGTTAACTTTAAACACTTTTTACTTGAATCCAGCAACACAGCGTTAAATTGATGCCAGTTTTTACCCCTTAACCATTAAAGTCTGATGGGGTATTGTTGTCACCCCCATCAGGCAAGTGGCATACATACCCAAGTTTGTGAATGCAATAACTCAAGAATGAGGCGTAGTAGCAATATGAAATTAATAATATAGGTGCATCTGCTGAAAATCTCTGACAAGTTTGAATCTCAGTGACCATGACCCTAAGACCTGAATCCAGATTCTGCCTACAGCAGTTGGATGGTAGGGTCAAAGTGTGGAGAAGTTGCAGGAAACACCATGCTGGTTGGTGTACTGATAGGGTAACAGCTTTCAGGGGAGGTAACGTGTGTGTTCCCTTGCTGGAAAATCTAAGCTTGTCATCACTGAGCGATAGACCCCAGAACATCAGGATGGGCGAGCACACCTCCTCCACCCTCATTCAGAATATACGCATCCCTCAAGGGTGTGTCCTCAGTCCCCTCTTATACTCACTTTTCACCCATGACTTTTATCCAGTTCCCACCAGTAACACCATTATAAAATTTGCTGACAACACTTCACTGACTCCCCTCAGAAACATTTATACTGGCAGACTTCAGCAGAGAGCCAGTACCATCATCAAGGACCCCTCGCACCCTGGGCACTCACTTTTCTCCTTCCCTCTGGTAAACACTACAGGTCCATCAGGTCAAAGACAAACAGACTCAATAGAAGCTTCTACCCACAGGCTGTCAAGCACGCCCTACCTCCACCCTGATTGAAGGTTAACTGTGCTCTGTGCTGTTAACACTCATGGACACTTGCACTGTACTTACTTATAAACAGTATTCATTACAGTATAATACAACCAACATTACTATTTCTATTTATATAACTGTATTTTTTTTTTACAGTAGCAACCAGCATTCCTATCCGTTACTCAATGTGCAATACCACTGATCACATCGCACCTTATACTGCACTGATCACTTCTTACACTGTACCTGCAGATATATTTATATATTTTGTTTCTGTATAACTTGTGCATATCCTTTTGTGTAGATACTTATGTTATTGTGCATTACATGCATTCCCTGTGTAGGTACCTCTTAAACATATTTTATCTTTATTTATGTTATTCTCTTATCTGAGGAATGTGAATGTAAAATCCTACAAGCTGCCAATGGAGAGATGCCAAACTGTGTTTCATTGTTCTGGTAACAGTGGCAATAAAGATCTAGCTTATCTTAGATATCAAAATGAGATTCTTCAGCCAGTGGCAATCCCACATCTCCACAGTCTGGGATCAAACTCTATCCTCCAAGCTGTCAATGCTCACCCCCACGTATGAGATTTATCAGAGACTACCTGGAGGGGAGTGCAGAGGATGGAATAAGCAGATGTGCTTCATCTTTCACTGTTCAATTCATCTGTTGAAGGTGTTCAGCTCATATCTGCCAGCTCTCATAACATGAAGTTTAAAACAAAGAAGTTCCATCTGGAACTTCCTTATTTTAAACCAAATGAGTTGCAACAGGAACTCCTTTGTTCTATTGTAAGTCAGCAATGCAACAAGAGCACACAGAGCACACGCATCCATTCATAGTCTTCAAAAGACAAAAGCATCATTCCATTGCAGATTAGGCAACTTTTAGAATATTTTCTGCTTGATCATCTTTGATTTGCCTAAAATTTTGTCTAAAAATATTGTTTGAGCACATAGTATGATTGCTATGACACTTCAAGGTTATATATCAAACACTTTTCAAAATATATTTCTACCAAAAAATTTCTGTCAACCCACTTTTGGGCCTCTTTTTGACACATTCAGCTGTCTGCTGTGATGAAGGGTCTCAAGATTTTCATTAAACAGCTTTCCTTCAGGAAAAGGAGCATGATAACACATTGATAAGCATGGTAAGGCATTACTAGGTAATACAGAATAAAATGCAATAATAAAAGGCAATATCTGATTCCTCTGTCAATCAATTCATGGATTTACTAAACTGGATTAATAGCTGGAAAGTAACTTACTGTGCTGTGATTTTGATCTTCAAAGTCACAACACATGCACGGTGGTGCAGTGGTTAGCACAAGTCAGACACTGATGCTGGACAAGAAACCCTGGCTTGCAGTCTTCACTCTAATTCATTCTTAAAGTTTTCCATTGGGTTGCTTGGACCAGTGGACCTTGCTTTGTGCACAGTCATTCTGGATCAGGAAAGGGCCATCCAGCTAATATGTATGGCATGTTCAGTTGTTTGATTTTATACAA